TCTTCTTCCTTAGACATTTATGGATGCAATGGCCAATCTGAATGAGGGAACAGGGAGCAGGAGGTCGGGGAGTAAGGCAGGAAGGTGGAGACCAGAGACAGGTTTCAAGAGAAGGGAAAACTCTTGTGAAACTTTAGCATGCTTGCACTCTCGGTCAAGTGAAACAAGTTTCTTTTTTTATTTGGTACATAAACTTGTTGTAAGCAAAGCACTCAAAGGGAAAATTCCTAAGCAGCAGTGCTGGGTTTAGGAGTCATTTGTCAAATTAATCATGATATATTTTCTTGCCTTGAGTGCGTCAGCTGGGATATGTTACATTCCATCCTAGGAAGGGAATCCAAGTAAAAGATTCCCAGCAAACAATTGCTCAGTCTAGAGAGCAGCAGAGCACTCCAGGCCTCTTCAGTACCATTTACTTGAGTTTTCTACCACCATCCAGTTGGGGCAATGCTATCACATGGAAGAGTCGGGGTTGGAGTCCCACACAGAGTTTTAAAGCCAGCACAGTGCTGGCATCCAGATTTCAGCACAAGGCAATTCTGGGTTTGGTATGAGGAAGTCACTTAGGGAGAATGGGGTGGGGAAAGTCGGTTCTGATAAATATTTGAAATAAGCTTCAAGTAAGAGTCCAAGTGTTTAACTCTATCTCTCTTCCGGCACTGCAGCTAAATAAGTAGAATGTCTAACAGTGCAATGATAACAGTTGGCCATGTAATATTTGACAAAATAATAGCATTCTTAAAATGTGAAAATTTATAATCTGAGATTAGACATGTTCGGGGTAGTATGGCTATAGATGGGGGCTGATTAATCCTGAAATGCTATGTCTATTTACTTAATTTTAAGTAAAATATGGCAATATTATGTTTGATTCAAACAGGTTGCTATAGCTACCTTGTCTATGAATGTCCATAGGAACAGAATGCCAAAGACTAAACTAATGTCTCTGCTTCTGACTGTGTATCAGTCATGCATTCTGCCCTCTCTATCCCAGATCTGGACTTGACATTGATGGGACAGCAAACAATTCTATCTATAGTTGAAACTAAAAAGTTAAGAATTTTTCTAGATCATTTGGATATTTTAAAACCTCTTCTGGTATACATAACTAATCAAAACAACCTTTCTAAAGACAAATAGACTGGGCGTTGGTGGCACATACCTTTAATCCCAGCACTCAGGAGGCAGAGGCAGGCAGATCTCTGTGAGTTCGAGACCAGCCTGGTCTACAAGAGCTAGTTCCAGGACAGCCTCCAAAGCCACAGAGAAACCCTGTCTCAAAATAAATAAATAAATAAATAAATAAATACAAATAGTTTTATGCATTTGTATGTTAATTTCCTCTATGACTTGGTTTAAGTGTGAATAGCATCCCACTCCCCTAGGATTTTTCGATGTAGCCAAGCATAGCCTTGATCTCATCATCCTCTTGCTTCAGCTTCCTGAATCTTAGGATAATAGGAATGTACCACACACTGATTTTGTGAACAGTCATTTGAGAAGGGGTATTTTCTCTCTTTTTAAAGAAACAATTATTTATTTATAACTCTTTTATGTGTAGGGATGTTTTGGCTGTATGTACACATATTTATCACCTGCCTGCATGGTACACTTGGAGGCCAGAAGAGGATATAACTCCCTGTAACTGGAATTAACAATGCTTCTAAGAAGCTCTATGGGTTCCAGAAATTAAAACCAGGAACTCTGGAAGAGCAGCCAGTGCTCTTGACTGCTGAGTTAGCTTTCCAGTCTATTATTATTATTATTATTATTATTATTATTATTATTATTATTATTATTATTGTGCATGGGGGGTGCAGGTCCCACAGTTTGTGTGTGTATGTCAGAGGACAAATTGGTGTATCTCCATCCACCATGTATATCCTGGGGACAGAACTCATGCCATCAGTCTTTGTGACCAGAGCCTTTATCCAGTATGCCATCTCTCTGGGTGGGAGAAACAATGTTATCTTTACTGTCATAAAGAACCACACCATCTAGTTTCTTGTCACCGGTCTAGAATCTAGACATTTCATTTTATGCCTCTAAAGTGAACAGAACTTAGCCTAAACAGCTTTCAATGCATTAGATTAAAACTGAAGTAATTTGCTTGGGAGCTGAGCAAGCAAATGGGAGGAAAAGTTGATCTCTGGCATGCTGACTATTGCTTTTTGGGTTTATGGGAGCATGAGGAGGGTACAAAAGCCTGAGCTCACTGACAAATTTTCTTGCCACCCAAGGCTGAATTTTTGTCTTGACTCATTTTAGAACAGTTTTCCCAAATAAGTTAGTAAAGATGATAACTTGAACATTTGCCTATATTTCTCAGAATCCCTCCCAGATGGTGCTAACTACCAGCCCCAGAATATGCATATTAAAATGATCCTTTGAGATTTAGTATGTTTAGAGTGCCTGACTCTGCCTCAGCTCCATTTTATCCAGATTCTAAAAGCTGCATGCATTCTGATTTTTCAGTCATTTTGAATTACATAGAGATGTGCAAGACAGCTAGACTTGGGATTCGGTGAAAGAGAACATTCTGAAGTATCAGAAGAGAGAGGTTTTTAAATTTTTAATTAAATATGTTTCGGTTATAAGAGAATAGGTGATGAATGAGGAGAGTTTTCTGCAAGTAATTAGACCCAAATGGCTTTGGAGTGGTAGAACTATCTTGGTAGACAGATCTTGGTAGAATGGTGTCTAGGTGTAGGGAGACACCGTAACCACACCTCCTAAGGGATGGCTGCAGGTGTGCTTGACCATGCATGGTCAAGGGAGGCCAGAGAGAAGGGGCCCCCACGTGTCTGCAGCACCTTAAGAACTTCACACGCATCATCCTGACCTTCCCTTGAACGTCAAGCACACTTGTAGCCAGCCCTTAGGAGACGTGGTTACGGTGTCTCCCTACATCTAGGAGTGAAATCAGTGACTCCTTAGATGTTTTAGTCCAATTCCAGCCCATACAATTCACCCTCTTGAACCTGTTCACTGATAGCTATTTACTGAAAATTCACCATGTACCAAGCGTGTAGTAGGGCACTAGCTAGCATTAATGTCTAGGGGAAATGAAGAAAGAATGTTCTCTGGACCTGCTTGGAATTCCATTCTTAGAGACCTCCCAAGCCAGAATGGACAACCTCACCCACCATGTTGGTTTTTCTACCATATGCTATCACAAAGAGGAGCCTGGGATTCAGAATGCTTTGGGAGTATTTTTTTGCTCTGTTCTCTGTTATCGACTAACATGAGAGGAATTGTGCACTATTGAAGGGCCCAAGACACAATGTATGGCTCATCCTAATTCCTTATTTGACAGGCTGTTGACAAATGTTTTGCATCAAAAGACAATGACATCACAGCTCCAGAATCTGCTTAACAAAGAATCAAGAACCAATCCTGTCCACCTCACACTCAGAGAAGATGTTCAAACAACCTTCTTCCAGCAGAGTGAAAGGCATGGGGGTTTATGCAGAAGCTGCAAGAGCAGGGGCTCCGAAGAGATGTCAGGGCAGTCATCTGAATAACACGATTTTGACACTGTGTGTAAACACAGACTGCCCAAGGTATCTTCATGTTGTTTAGCATGGAAGTCATGCAAGGCAGACTGTAGGAGTAAGAAATGGAATACTATCTTGGATACTGGTGATAGGCCATGAAAAATAAACGAGGCCCTTTAATAGTAATTATAAAACAAACAACCAACTCAGATTATCTGGAAAGTAAGGGCAGAGAAAACTTTTCAAATACATTTTTCTGTAATTGATCAACTATTTAAGAATTCAAACAATATAAAAAAGCCTTATAATTTGTCATAAAACTGCCAAAAGGTAATATAAAATAAATGTAGAATGCCCCATTGTTATGAGTTGTGATTTTTTAAAAAGAAAATAGAAACGTTTCCAATTTATCCAACAACCTTCCAACTGTGCAAGGTATTAAAATTATATATGCTACTTAAAAATTATTAGGAATCCATCAAATTGACAAGCTATCAGGTTTCCTGTATTCAAGATTAAGCTTTGGTAAGAAGCAACTTCTATAGACTCCCTGTTGGAATTAGGTAATTGGTGACTGTTAGCAGGGTTTTCATCTGGAGGGGAAACATTGCCTAAAGAAGAGGGACTTAGACACAGAGGAGCATACCAGTAACGTCAGTCCTCAGGAGGCTGAGGCAGGAGGATTCTGAGTTCAAGGTCAGTCTGGGCTATACAGGTTGTCCCACTTCTCTAAAAAGAAAGAATGAATGATAAATATTCTTTGTCTGAATCCTCCATTAGCATAAGATGCCAGGCAACAAGACAACTTTCAAGGAGGGAAGAGAAATCACCCTTTCCTCTCTAGAGTCCCTACATGGGAGGAGATAAACTGAAGGGAAGACCTGTTTTCTGACCCCTACCAGTGTTTACACTGTATTAGTGTAAGTCTGTTACTAAAGTGTCATTTGACAGGGCCAGTGTTCCACTATGCAGGCACAAGCTGCTAGGAACCCAACCCCCCCCCCCCCCCCCCCCGCTTTGCGGCAATGTGGAACCCAGCTTTGTGTGTACAGCTGCTACCTCCTTCTCTCAGGCATGATAATTTTTCAGTACTCTGCCTTCTGCAGGGAGGCAAAGCATCTCTAGCCAAAGTAGAAAGCTTAGACAGAATGGGTGGGTATAGGAACTCTTGTTAGTTCTATCCCTTCCTGTTTTTTTCCCCATCTCTGAATTTTGGTGTTTGATTTCTGGTTATCATGAGAAAGCATCCATCATGGTCAGGGTCTCTATTGCTGTGAGGAGACACCATGACCATGGCAAGTCTTATAAAGGAAAGCATTTGATTGTGTTGGCTCACTTACAGTTCAGAGCTGTAGTCCCTTATCCTCATGGTGGGAGGCAAGACAGCAAGCAGGCAAACCTGGTGCTGGAGCTGAGAATCCGTGCGTCTTGATCCAAAGGCAACAGGCAGTGAACTGTCACTGAGCTATATCTTGAGCACATATGAGACTCAAAGCCCCACCCCTCAGTGACACACTTCCTCCAACAAGACCACACCTATTCCAACAAGGTCACACCTCCTAATAGTGCCACTCCCTCTGGGGGCCATTTTCTTTCAAACCAACGCAGCATCCAAGTATGTGTTTACCAGGTAGTGTAACTTATTTTAGTTATAGTTGCCAGGACTAAACCCCTGATGAAACAACTTGAGGAAGGAGGGGTTTATTTTGGCTCTGAGCTGGAGGGGACAGTTCATCAGAGGGGAAAAGGAGTGATGGCAGGAGCTCCAGGCTGCTGGCCATGTTGTATCTACAGTCAGGAAGCCCAGAAAGTTGAATGTGGTCAATTTAGGATTCCAGTCCTGGAACGGTAGCACCTGCATTTAAGGTGGATCTTTCCACCTTAACCTAAAGTAGATTATATCTCACACCTGTGTCCCTAGAGATTTGTTTCCATGCTGATTATAAATCTTATCTAGTGGACACGACTGACTATCACAGGCCATAATAAGACGTTTAATGGTACAAAAATATACAGTGGGCATCTGTGATGCTCAACAGATCTTATCAGAGAGGATGATGCGTATTTTCAGAGAGGCTTACCCCATGCTTCTTGGAGTTTTCTATTAATGGCTGATATCAGCTCACAGGCACCCTGTGTTTCAGTCACATTGTTTTCTCAAATAGTCTTGTTTGGTGAGCATGCAATCACAATGCCTATAAAAAGACAAATCATTCTCCCACCAAAGCAAATTACATAACGAAGACCCAAATTAGATTTACTATTTTCTCCTTTAGAAGTACTTTACAGAGATATTTGTGCACTCACATGAGTTTTTGTTTCAGATAACATTAATGAAGCCAAATGACTCTCCCTTTATTTAATGTAGTTATAGTTTAATGTGGTTAGACTGCAATGAAATTATCTGAGTTAAGGACAAAGATTTTTTATTTTTAGTTTTTAGCATTGTAGTTTTTACAATCATCCTAACTATTAGCAATAGAGTATAGATACATTTAGTAGTACTTAGATGTTAGATATATTTATATTTGAATATCAAAACATGACATAAATCTCATCAAATATTGGTGGATTTTTTTAAAAATTATTTGTAAGCAATGGAATTTAAAAACATTTGCCCCCATGATCAGAGAGTGTGAATTAAAATGAAATAGAAAAGTTTGGTTAGTTTTTAATCTTTTGTTTCTTAAAGATTTATTTATTATGTATACAGTGTTCTGTCTGCATGTATGTCTGCAGGCCAGAAGAGGGCACTAGATCTCTAGATCTCATTACAGATGGTTGTGAGCCACCATGTGGTTGCTGGGAATTGAACTCAATACCCCTCTTAACCTCTGAGCTATCTCTCTAGCCCCTAGTTTTTTATCTTAAAGTCCAAGTTTAAGAAAAAAAAGGAAAAACCTAAAATGTCTTTTTTTTGTAATTAAAAAAAAATGGCTGCTCTGCTGGTGGGGTGGAATAATACTGCCTGTACACAAGGGGTTTTTAAGGGCCATTTTTCCTGGGTACTGAGATTAGAAATTTTTCATAGAACAAGAAAAGTGGAATGACCCAGTGATTTATGAGAATAATTTCCAAGTTCTTTGAAGAATTAAAATCAGTCTATATAATAGCAAGCACATGGCAGGTAGTAATAAATACTGGGTATAACTGGGAGTAAATAAGGCTGAAGGCTAATAAAAAGTCTCCTTGTATTTTCTTGGCCTCTTCATTACCTGAGCCTCCAGTGAGACTTGGATTCTAGGAGACATCACCTCATCCCTGGGCATGTCTCTTCTTAGGCTTCCATCTGCTTCCTCTATCACTTCCGTTTTCCTGTTCAAATAATCATTTAGTTTGATTTTTTAAGTGAAAAGTAACTATTTCAGGGTAAGAAAAATGCAGACAAACTAGGTTGTGGCTATAATTGCCTGGTTCATATTAGTCAAGTGGTTACTCTGTGAGCAGTGAGCAGAAACTAAGCTCTGAAGGGTGAAGAGGTAGAAAGTGAATACTGAGCACAAACCCTGGGGAGCACGTTGGTACCCACCTCCTTCCTCTCCTTACTGGTCCCTCCCTCAATGGAAGCTCAAACCTTTCTGCTGTTGTTTGGTGATTTGGTTATTTAGTGGAAGAGTTTTGTTTTTTTTTTTTAAGAGGATAGCAAATAGCAAAGAAAAGTAGAATATGTAACATCTAACACATATCCAAGTTGTAAACTATTTATATGTATAGTTTGTTTTATATATTTTGCTCTTATCATAAATTCTTGCCTTTCCTCCATGATATATTTAGTAATTTGCTTAAAAACTTTTCTGTTTTTCTTTTTCTTTTTGTTTTTTGAGGTAATTTCTCATCACAGGCTTCCTTCCAATTCATCATGTAGCTGGCGGTAACTTCAACTTCTGGTCTTCCTGCCTCAACTTTTCAAGTGCTGAGATTACAGGTGTTCAGTTTTACAGGTGAGATTACAGGTGTGGTAATGGCATGGAATCCAGGCCCACTATGTGAACATTAAATCTGCCCAATCCCTACAAACATCACTTTTATGTAATGATTTATAATACTTCAAGCCTGAACTTGATAAAACCCGAATTCCTTTTTGTCGTGTACATTAGTCACTGTACTCCAGAGAAACAGAAATACTACAGGAAGAAATTTCCTGTAGGGATTTTGCCCACATTTTGGTTGTGTATAGCTGAGAAGTTGCACGATCCAGTCAGCAAGCTGGAAACCCTGCAGAGAAGATTGGTTCCTCTTCAAAAAAGTGGTTCAAGACTTGGAAAGAGCTGATGGTTGATTTCAGAGGTAAAAACATTTGGTATTCCGTCTTGAAGGCAATCAGGCTGGAGGAATCACCACTTACAGAAGGGAGGGAAAGTCAGACCTCCAGATGAATGAGCTCCACCAATGTAATCTCATCCAAAAATACTCTGTCTATCTGGTCTACAAACCCAAAACAATATTTGAACAACTCTTGGAGCATCTTGTAGCCTCCTCAAGTTGACTTATTAAAATTACCCATCAGAGGCTGGGAAGGTGGCTCAACTGATAGATGCCTACTATGCAAGAATTCGGAGCTAAATTCAGATTCCCAGCATCCACATAACCTGGGCATAAAGATTTGAGGCCTGCAACCATAGAGATGGGGAGACAGAGAGCCAGTGGAGCTCATTGGTTAGGCAGCCTAGATAAACTGATGAACTTCAGGTCCATTGAGAGACCCTATCTCAAAAAATAATATGGACAGTAATAGAGGAAGACACCAGTGTTGACCTATGGCTTCCACATATACATGAACACATGAACATGTGTACATGCATACATATACACAATCACATGAACACATGCACACACACAGAGCATCATTTCAGGTAAGATTTATTCGTAGCTGAAACAATTTTTGATAAATTTATATGCAAAGAATTGTGCTTTTGTCAGAAGTCCAGGTATTTGGTTGTAGACTACTTGAAGATGTGCTATGATTTGAATGTGTCCTCCAGACATTTATATGTTGTTAATCTCCAAAGTCATTCATTGATGGTTTTGGAGGTAGGACCTTTAGAAGATAATTAGGGTTAGCTGAGGTCATCAGGTTATAGTCCCATTGTGGGATTAGTGAATTTATTTTCTATTTTTCTTTTTCCTTCCTTCCTTTCTTCCTTCCTTCCTTCCTTCCTTCCTTCCTTCCTTCCTTCCTTCCTTCCTTCCTTCTTTCCTTTCTTCTTTCCTTGCTGCTCTTTTGGGGTTTTTGTTTGTTTGTTTTTGAGACAAGGTTTCTCTGTATAGCTCTGGCTGTCCTCAGACTAACTCTGTAGGTCAGGCTGGCCTGGAACTCAGAGATCTGTCTGCCTCTGCCTTCCAAGTGCTGGCATTAAAGGCATGTGCCACCATGCCTGGCAGATTAGTGGATTTCTAAGAAGACTTGATCTCTGGGTTTACTTACCAGGCTGTGTCTTCTTCCAGATTATGAGGCAGTCAAAGGCTGATTCCTGATGCAGGACTCATGACCTTGGTTTTTCCTGCTTCTGAAACTACAGATCTCTTTTCTTTTCTTTACAACTAGTCAGTGATATTCTGTTAAGCAACACAAAATAGACTATGATGTGATTATCCATTTTAAAGAAAAGTTAATTAGCAGTGCTATCTGTAAAAACTGTTTAAATTAAAAAAAACTATTTAAAAATACTAGCCAGCATTTAATTAGTTCATTAATCCATTTATCTACAGTAGATGGATTTTGAAAACCTCAGTGAGTAGCTATTAAATGCCAAGCATTGGTCTAGGCATGAAGCAAACAGACACTAACAAAAAACTAGCCAATTGTCTGGCAAAATAGGACAACCGAATAAATATAATAGAAACAAAATATTAATGGTTGGATGCCCATGCACTTATTATACCTTTCACATTTATTGTACTAATCTACTAATTAGTAGTTCTCTAATATTTGTAGAAGATATTCATAATTTGGGAAATAAATTATGCTACCACCAGATTATAAGCAATATAAGGAAAATTTCTATAAGCTAGAGTAGACAAAGCTATAGCATTGTTTCTATAGAGAGATGTCTCAGTGATTAAGAGCACTGTCTGCTCTTTCAGAGGACTGGGGTTCGAGTTCCAGTGCCCATCTGGAAGCTCACAACAGTCTGTACCTTCGGTTCTATCTGATGCTTTCTTCTGGCTCCTGTGGGAAACACATACTTGCAGTGCACAGATGATGGGAGAGATCCTTCTGTATGCTGTGAACATATGTTTCTTTTATTGGTTGATGAATAAAGCTGCTTCTGCCAATGGACAGGCAGGATGTAGCCATGCAGGAAGTATAGGTGGGGCTACCAGAATAGTAGAATTTTGGGAAGAGGGGTCTGGAGAGATGGCTCAGAGGTTAAGATCACCGACTGCTCTTTCAGAGGTCCTGAGTTCAATTCCCAGCAACCACATGGTGGCTCACAACCATCCCTTATGAGATCTGGTGCCCTCTTCTGGTGTGCAGATATACATGGAAGTAGAATGCTGTATACATAATAAATAAATAAATCTTTTTAAAAAAATTTTGGGAAGATGAATGCAGAGTGAATCACCAGAAAGATGCCATGTAGCTGCCAACAAAGCAAGAGGCTGGGGCATGTGGAGATACACAGATTAATAGAAATGGGTTAATAATTAAAAGAGAGCTAGTCAATGAGAAGCCTGAGCCATGGGACAAACAATTTATAATTAATATCACATCTCTCTGTTTATTTGGAACTAAACAGCTACAGGACCACGGCAGGACAGAAACTTCCATCAACACACAGACATACAAGGATGAAAAACCTCCACGTATATATAATAAACCTTTTCTGAAAAAACTGTAAGAGAAGGTGAGATGTAAAATGTACACATGTTGTGAAAAACAGCTAGCAATGAGACATAATTTACCACAGGCTCTAGCAACTCCACTTCTTGTATAGACCAATTGGAAGGTGCTTGGAAGAGAACCAATGTTCCTAGAGGTATCGTTACCAACAACCAGAAGTTGTAAACAACTCAAATGTCTGTCATAGGAAGAATGGCTTCACAAATCAGGCTGTACTTACACTAATGAAATATTATTGATCCTGAAATAGGACATATGCTTCAAAATGGATAAGTCTTTATGATATTATGTTACGTGGAATAAGCCAGTAACAAAAAGACAAGTACTGTGTAATTCTCCTTCTAAGAAGTACCTACAAGAGTTGAATTCACCCAGATAAATAGAACATGAGATGGCAGCTTGTCAGGGTCCAGCAGAGAAGGTGCTGGGGAGTTGGTGTTTAATGGATAGTTAGTTTCTGTTTGAAGAAAACACAAGATTCTCAGAATGAATGGTGGTACAGTGTTGTGAACACACTCAATATCTCTTGAACTATACCTTTAAAAAATTAAAATAGGACTGAGGAGAGCTTGCCCAGCATGTGCAAATCCCTGACCTTTGTCCCTAGCACCAACACTGCATAAACCCAGCATGGAGGCATATGCCTGCAATCCCAGCACTCAGGATCTAGAGGCAGGAGAATTCCAAGTTCAGGGTCATCTTCAAAGCCAACCTGTTTGCTTTATTTCTTTGTTTGTTTTTTAGACAAGGTAGCCCTGTTTCTGTGTAACCCTGGCTATTCTGGAACTTGCTCTGTAGACCACGCTGGCTTCAAACTCACAGAGATCTACCTGCCTCTGTCTCCAGAGTGCTGGTATTAAAAGTTTGGACCACCACCACCTGGCTTTTTTTTTGTCTGTTTTTAAAGACAAAATGGCAAATTTTGTTGTGTGTGTGTGTGTGTGTGTGTGTGTGTGTGTGTGTGGTTTTTTTTTTTTTTCAGTTAAAAATGGGTGGGGACCACCGGTGAAGAAAGCTTGACATTAAATGGAAATCTTTTCTGCCATGGGTACCAAACAAGGACTCATCAGCCTACAGACAAGCATGAGAAACAAACATCAATGGGTTTTTGAGCAAGGATTCTAAATTCTCTTAAAGAATGAGCAAAAAATTTTCACAGGTTTAAAATAGAGGCAACTTGGGCAACCTGGACCTTACTCCTCTGATAAAGCTCCAAGATTTCTATTCTATTCTATTCTATTCTATTCTATTCTATTCTATTCTATCCTATTCTATTCTATTCTATTCTATTCTATTCTATTCTATTCTATTCTATTCTATTCTATTCTATTCTATTCTATTCTATTCTATTCTATTCTATTCTATTCTATTCTATTCTATTCTATTCTATTCTATCCTATTCTAAATGGGGAAAATAAAGCTGTGTGTTATGACATGAACATTCAAGTTTTAGTATCACAAAATACCAAATCTTCAGTAGTTCAAAAATTATCATGTGCCCTAAAATGGCAGGGAAGTTGCAGAGAACACTCACAGGGATTAAGTGGCAGCCAACAGAGCTGAAGGTGATGCCATCAGAATTGAATCTGTGATGTGACGATTTAGATTCGTAAGCAATGCAGTGTGCACAGACAGAAGTGAATGAAGCCACCAATGCCTTAGTTCTCTGCAAGCCACCCTGGGATCCATATTGTGATATCACAGACAGTAAAGGTCCTGAACTGACTAAAGAACAGCTTGAACTAGAATTCTAGCTGCATCATAAGCTTTAATTTCTTGCTCACAAGTCTGGCCTATTACAATAAGCCAATATTACATCCTTACAAGCTTCCTAACCCTCTACTTGGCACTTGGGACATTTATGATAATATTCCATGAAAATCTCACTTGTATGAGAATTGCTTCATTAGAGACTTTTAAGGGGCATCAGTAAAAGATACTTCTTTGTGGGATCTTTATTTTACCTGCTCAAGATGGAACTGTCTGCCCAATCTTTGAGAAGTTGATATTGGCAGCCCTGTATAAGAGAGGAGCGTGTCCAAATGAAACGGTTAATGAAATGTGGAAGCTTGGGAAATTGCCTTTTTAGTCAATTTCTCCTCAGCAAGAAGTGTTCAATGTTTATTATTCCCTTATCTTGTGTCTCATTCTCCAGAATGTAGAAACCTGTAGCAGGCTTTCTTGGACCACCAGCCCCTGATCATGATACAGAGACTTATTATTGATTATGGATGCTCAGCCTTAGCTTAGGCTTGTTTCAAGCTAGCTTTTTTTCCAACTTGAATTAACCCATTTCTATTAACCTATTGCTGCCCTAAAGCTCGTTTACCTTATCTACATACTGTCCATCCTGCTTTCCTGCTTCCTCTGTGTCTGTCTGTCTGGCCCCTGGCTAACTGGTCCCCTTTTTCTCTCTGCCCACCAGTCCTGCCTATCCCCCCTCTGCCTAGCTATTGGACATTCAGCTTTTTATTAGACCAATCAGGTGCCTTAGGCAGACAAGGTGAAACAGCAACATATCTTTACATAGTTAAATAAATGCAGCATAAACAAAGGCAACACATCTTTACATAGTTAATTGTTCTGCAGCACAAACAAATGCAACATATTTGTATCTAGTTTAAAAATATTCTATTCCACAACAGAAACCCTACTGCAGTCAGCTGCTGAGTGGTTAATTGCTTAGAATACAAGTATGTTCTGGAATTCCAGCTTCTTGTGAAGGTGTGACTTGGAGCTCAGAAATGGAGGCAGGGGAAGCTGGGCAAAGCAGTGCAGGCCTTTAATCCCATCACTTAGGAGGCAGAGGCGATGGATCTCTGTAAATTTACTGCCAGCCTGGTCTATATAGGGTCCCATGACAGCCAGGACTATATGGAGACTTTGTCTCAAAAAAGATCAAGGAAGAAAGGGAGAGAAGGAGGGACGGAGGGAGGAAGAGAAAGTATCCACTGCATGAAAAATAGGGAAATTTCTTTCCATTTGTCCTCGGTTACATGGATACTTTCCTACCTCCCACTCCTGTCATTCCCAAAATGCATTGGAGCACGGGTTAACCAACATAGAACATATCCTATAGAGAGCTGGGACAACTCAGCCTGTCACATGCAAGCAGTTTCACAGTAGGTGAGTATCTTCTGCTCGGGAGTGGAGGACAGAAAGTGAGTTGAATGAACGGTTAAGCTACTGGCATGAAACCTTTTCAGCACATGGCCTTATGTCTGCTTTTCTTTAAAAGAATAATGCTGAACCAAACTGAGTTTTAATTGGGTTTGACTTGCACAAACACTTGGATTTTAGTGTCTAAAATGTAAGCTAACTGGGAAAACATAATCCCTACTTAATACAGTTTTCATCTGCCGATACCAATGTAATATGATTATGTCCATGCTGATTACAGGCTCTAACCAGAGTCTCATGGAATAGGTGGTTCCCATGGAATCTCACCTCTTCCTTTTTCCCCATTTTTCTGTAGATTAAAGTTCCCTTGGATATTCAGGCAAATCCTTGTAATCCTGGGAATGCGCTCCTTAAGTAAGTAACCCCTTGTTGGGAAAAAAACATACCAGCCCTGGTCTTCATCACATTCCTGTACAGTGCTAAGCCTAAGCTTGGGTGGTTTCCAGTTTTCTGGTGTCTAGAGACTTCATCTACCCATACGACTTCTGAATGTTCTTATTTTCCTCATATTTCTGTTGTGGGTTTGCCTCATGGTGCTCTTCTCCCCTCTCTCCTCCTCCCCTCCCTAAAAGGTATGCACTCTGCAGCCTCAGTAATGCTAGCTCTTAAGTGAGTCCACAGTATGAAATAATAAATGAGATTTTAAACAATGTTTGAAGTGGGCGTGAGCCCCGCTGTACATTTCAAGACTGATATTCCTGTAGAAGCAATTGTGGAAGATGGCGAAAGGCAAATGAATCACAGATGAGGGTGAAACAAAAACAACTGACGTAAAGAAAGTGAACACAAATGGATTTTAGAAATGATCTTCTATTCCTAATTAGGCATGATAACCACCATGCTTGGTTATTGGTATGTGCTCACTTACATCTTTTGGCCTGCTTTAACAAAAGAAACAAAGAAGTCACTTCAAGGAAGCTACAGCCCAACTCCAGTGTGTGGTACAATTACCCCACACTCAGAGTTGACTAGCCATCCGACCTGCAGTAAAACTTGTGTTCATGACATGGAGAGTGCTTCCTTGATCTCTCTTTGTTGAACATGGATTCATTTCTACAACATTCTTCCTCCATCTATGAACTTAGCATGTAATAATCATAAAATAAAGAGAATGGATAAGGAATTCCCTAATGCCTAAATCACCGGTCAAGGTAGACATGACTACTGATAACCAGAATGTCACACACACACACACACACACACACACACACGAAATCCACAAAGATTTGAGTAGGAAATTAAAAATTACCTTAAACTTTAAAGCAGATATTTGTTTGCTTTTGTAGCTTTAGATTGTACGTCACCCTGAAGGAACTTGGAAAAATCAGAATATAGTTCTTTGATGAAAAATCATGGGATCGAGGGTATTTCCATGGTAAATCATGTACCTGGCATGTATGAGGCCTTGAATTCAGTCTCTAGAACAGCATAATGATGTTGATGACAATAATCAAAAGTATAACATTATATTATAAAGAATCTAGCAAAGGAACTCACTTTAGGGAACTGAAAATTTTTATGGCATCAATTATCACCCTATCGATGACCAATAAATTGGCAAGGGGAAAAAGTCTCACTTGTCTAACGGAATGTCCTAACTATAGTCCTTTTTTCTTTTTTGCATTATGTTTTATTTTGTTTTTACAAAAAACTAACATCAAGGGCTAGAGAAATGGCTCAGCAGTTAAGAGCACTGGATGCTCTTCCAGAGGCTCTGAGTTCAAGTCCCAACAACCACCTAGTGGCTCACAACCATCTGTAGTGGGATCTGATTTCTCTTCTGGTGTGTGTGTGAAGACAGTGCACTCATATACATAAAGTAATATATAAAAATTCTTAGCAAACATTTCCTGATTATACAAGCAATTAATATTAGTTTTTGTTTAGTTTTGATACTGTACTTTAATTACAACTTTTCTCCCTTCCATTTCCCTCACCCCAAACCCTCCCATATACCCCTCCCTGGCCTCCTTCAAATTTGTTACCTCTTTTTGTCTTGCCAGTGAAGGTGAGTGTGGATGTTTTCACCTTAACTCATGGATTAAATTTGACATCTCTGGTAGTGGGGCCACTGAGCTCATCAAATCCCAACATAGGATACTATGAAGTTGGTAGCTTCATAAGGCATTCTTCAGAATATGAAACCTGAACCTAGGAAGACTTCAGAAAAATAGAGTATATAAGGATGAACATGTTAAACCACAATGAAGAAAGAATAAAAAGGTATATACAAACACATATGTGCATAGAATAACAGTAGACAAAAGAAGAAGTCATGAATTTGAAGGAGAGCAGGGAGGGGTATTTGAGAGGGTTTATGAGGGAAGGGAAGGGAAAATGTAATTAAAATACAATTTCAAAAATAAAATCTAATATTCATTGCTTGTATAATCAGGAAATGCTTGCTGTTAGCTTTTTATAAAAACAAAATAAAACATAATGCAATAAAAGATAAAAAAGACTAATTAGGATACCCCATAAGACAAGTGGGCTGGCCCCCTTAAAATGTCTGTAGCCTGGGAGAGTGTGAGTAGGGGCCTGCATGGTCATAGATTGAAACAGACTGGAGATAGATAAACGGCTGTTATATGTGCTTTTTGACTGGAATTGGAAACTGGGAAAATAATCTATAAAATGGAGGCAATAATTTGAATTTGGGCATAGTTTTATATTATATTAATGATATTAATTTATTAAGTGGGGCATATTGGAATTTGGGTACATGAGAGGGTTCCACATTTTGGAGACACATGCCGAATACATGTGACTGACTTGAAAATGGTCTTACAGAAAAAATACATGGCTGGGGGTAGTGGTGCACAACTTTTCTCCCATCACTTGGGAGGCAGAGGCAAACTCTCTGTGAATTTGAATTAATCCTGGTCTACATAGTGAGTTCCAGGCAGTAGGGCTGCATATTGAGACCCTGTTAAAAGCAAGCAAACAAACAAAAACAGAGAGATGAATGAAGACGGCAAACTGATAACAATTTTTGAGTAAGGGTTTGGGGTTATGATGTTCATTTACTAATTTTCCATTTCTCTGCATGTTTTCCTTCTTGTACATGTGCTTTTATGATGGACTGTCTAAAGAGTTTACCGTTAGAACATTTGCAGAGTGTAGTATGAATAAGGCCATGGGCTCTATCCCTTAGCACTGTAAACAGAAACAATACAAAAACCAAACCATTCAAACAAAACCCACTATATCAGTTTCTTTTCCTGTTGCTGGGACTAAACACCTGACAAGAAGCAATTAAGCAGGGGTGGGGAGGCTTACAGTTGAAGGGGTACAATCCATCACAGCAGGAAAGACATGACAGCAGGTATGTGAAGTAACTGGTGGAATTACATCTGCAGTCAGGACTCAAAGAGTGGGACCATACTATCAAAACTCAGGGCCTGCTCCCTGTTCCCAGTGACCCACTTTCTCCAGCAATGATCTACTTCCTAAGGTTCCATAACCATCCAAAGCAGCATCTCTGGCCAGGAACCACCAGCTACTCCAACATAAGCTTTGGGGAATATTTTATATGCAAACCACAATACACATCATTACTAACTGAGTGAATAATGTCTGAAAATCAGAAATTTCAAAATCAATGTTACTCCCATTCATTTGGGTCAAATTAGCCTGCACAACTCATCCCTGAAATTAAAAATAAGACAGTAATACTTTCTTAAATGATAAGGAGAACCTGGGTATCTTAGTTACTGTTCTACTACTGGGAGGAGACACTGTGGCCAAGGAAGCATTTAACTGGGGGCTTGATTACAGTTTTAGAGAGTGAGTCCATGATCATCATGGCAGAGAGTGGCAGCAGGCAGGCAGACAGGCAGGCAGGCAGGCAGGCAGGCAGGCAGGCAGGCCACTGGAGCAGTAGCTGAGAACTCACATCTGATCCACAAGTTGCAGGCAGAGAGACTGAGGCTGGGCTGGTGACATACCTCCTCCAACAAGGCTATGCCCTCTAAACCTTCCCAAACAGTTCCAATAACTGGGGATCAAGCATTTACACATATGAGCTTATGGGGGCCATTCTCCGTCAAACCACCACATTGTGCCATCTCAATGACTATCTCAATGGCCCAGTAGGTAAAGTCACCTCTGCCACCAAGTGTGATGACCAGAGTTCAATCCCTAGGGCCAGCATAGTGGAAGGAGAGAATCAACTCTATAAGTTGCCCTCTGATGCCCACAGGCATGCTATGGCAAGCATGTGCATGCATATACATAACAAAGAAAATATAAATGCTATTTTTAAAAATTTTAATAAGTAAAATCTAAGCCTGCTGTGGTGGTGCATGCCTTTAGTGCCAGCACTTGGAAGGCTAAAGTAGGAGAATCACAAGTCCAAGAGCCTGTGTTAACAAACAACACAGAACAACAGTAAAGCAGAAAGTGTAGCCCTCTCATGAAAGCCTTCCCATTCACTGGTAGCAAAAATGATCATTTAAGCTATACCACATACATGTTTTATCATGGAGACAAAAATTTGAAGTGGTGGCAGTACCAGGTTTTGACATAACTTAAAGTGAATATAGATTAATTTCTTGTTGTGGAATAACCTTTTTGTACACTGTAAATACATGTCACTTGGATTGAAAATAAAAAGCTGAATGGCCAATAGCTAGGCTGGATTTTTAGGGCAGGGAGAACCCTGGGAAGAAGGAGGGCAGAGTTTCAAGAGATGCCAGGATTCGGAGCAAGTGGCATGGGCATTACATGGTAAAGGTAACTGGGCCATGTAAAACAATGTATATTAAAAGAAACGGGTTAATTTAAGTTATAAGAGCTACTTAGAAACAAACCTAAGCTATTGGCTGAACTTTCATAATTAATAAGTCCCCATCATTATTGGGGAGATATCAGTCTTGATGAAAGGGTCTGACTACAATTTCTTATTAGAGAGAGAGAGAGAAAGAGAGAGAGAGAGAGCACACATTCATAGTGCTGGGGATCAGCGACAATTTGGGGAGACAGAGTTCAAGACAGGGTTTCTCTGTGTAGCCCTAGCTGTCCTGGAACTTGTTCTGTAGACCAGACTGGCCTCAAACTCAGAGATCTGGCTGCTTCTGCCTCCTGAGTCCTGGGATTAGAGGCATGCACCAGGATGCCTGGCTTAAACAATAACAACATTTTTTTGTGTGTGTTAGGGATCAAATCTAGGACTTAATGCATGTTTAGGCAAGAACTATACCAACAGAGCTATAATCCTAGCCCCAGTGTATGTCTTTTAAAAACAGATGATTTAACTGTGAAAACAATCCTGCTATCACAAATCATTTGTTACAAATAACTTTTCCTTTTGTGTTGGTTGAAAGATAAAGAGTATGTGTCCAAATAAAAGTGAAATATACTTAGGGACCTGCCCACAACTGTGGCAATTTTCAGGTTAGCAAAATAATTTTCTTTTCTCACCTATTTTTATCCATCCTACTTTCCTTTTTGTATGTATGTGCAGACTGTGTCAACCAAATAAACATTTATATGTTTATTTGTATACATTTGGAGTAACTTGTCCTGATGTGACATAGTGATGATTCATATTGTATTGAGACTCATTTCCTACAGTAACAAGGCAAATATCAGTTGGGCATAATGGAAATGGCATAAACTGTAAATTATGAAACCTGGGTGAGAGACAAAACATGGACATCTACTTGATTTGAAGCAAGTCTCTAGTCTTGATAAGCTTTAGGATCCTTAGTTCTGTCGGGCAGTGGTGATGCACACCGTATCCATCCTTGATTTAAATAGACTGAAGGCTCTCTGACTGAGTTGGAAGGATCCTTGAATCTCCTGAAATTAATTTGTGATAGTATGCAAGCATTTTTGCCAGAAGAGGTGTAATAAACTCCAGATTATCATAAATATTCACAGTAACTCCCCCGCTAAGGTACCATTTGTTCCCCTTTCAGTGTTCTGGGCTGACTCTGTGACTTTCTTCCACCGAGAGAGAGAGATGAAAGTGGACTTCCAAGCATTAACCTTAAGCATCCTTGAAGCTTCTCATTCTCATTCTCATTCTCTTGGAATGCTGCTGCCATCAAGTGAATTATCTCCAGTTTTCTGGCTGGTGACTCATGGCCCATCTTCCATCCAGAAAGCACCACCAAATATACTATGTGGCTACCTGGATCATTCAACCTCACTTAAGGCATTGAATAATTTAAGATGGCTAAAGAATCCCAGGAAAAGACAGGAACCAGCCAGGTTGGTCCATGGGTGTAGAACTGTGAGCAAAGTAATGAAACAAATTGTATATGTGTTATCCAAACCTCTTGGGATTAGAAGTGTTTCCAACTTCAGATTTGTTTCTTATTTTGAAATATTTGCACATGTGATATGTTATTTATGATTTATTAAAGCTTGCCTGAGCGTTCAGAAAGCAAAGTTAGCCACAAGCCATAGAGTTCAGACAATGGTGATACACACCTTTAATCTCAGCACCCTTACTAACAAGTCATAGAGCCAGGCAGTGGTGGCATACACCTTTAGTCCCAGGACTCAGGAGACAGGCAGATGGATCTCTCTGAGTTCAAAGCCACCCTGGCCTACACAGAGTGAGGAGTAACAGAGGTCATGCTTTGGATCCTAGCACTTGGCATCACATGCCTTTAATCCCAGCTCTAGGGAGGTGGAGACAGGAGTGATATGGCTGGGTGGAGAAAGGATTATAAGGAGAAGGAGATAGGAGTGATGTGGATGGGTGGAGAGATGAATATAAGGAGGAGACAGGAACTCAGAGCTTTTACCTCTAAGGATTTGTGGAGACAGGCTCAGCTATTTTGGTTTGAGGTAGAGGTAAGAGCTAGTGGCTGGCTGCTTTGCTTATCTGACCCTCAGCTTGAACCCCAATATCTGTCTCTGAGTTTTTATTATTCGTGTTACATATATGCACAAGGAGGTACCTTGTAGATAGGACCCAAACCTGAATACAATTCTCATTTGTGTTTCATATACATCTTATACATAGAGCCTGGAGGTAATTTTATTTACTGTTTAATGTGTCTACATTTGTCTGTCTTTTATCAAATGAGGTCAAATGCATTTTTTTTTCACTTACAACAACAAATGTTAGTACTCAAAAATTTTAGAGCTTGGCCTGTTGGGTTAGGGGATGTTTGGTATAGCACTAGCTAACTATTTCAAAAAGG